CGTCGGGTACTCTCGAGAAATACAAAGATTATTCGCAATAATAAACGAATGAATTGTTAATTACCAGGCAAATTCTTTAAATATTAACTTCTTGAATTAATCTCTTCTTTATATTAACAGGTAATATTAGATTTTCCTAATCATCTCTCTCGATTATTAGCCATTGAGGAATAAATTAGAAAAAAAAATTATTTCTATCAATTTGTAAAAATGTAAATAAATCAATGCTGTTACGCTTTAATGAATAACCATAAAAAAACCAGTTGACAATGTTGTTGCTAGACTTTCCCGGCATTCTTTATTTGTTTTTGTTTCTAATAATTAGCCTTTAAGTCTTCGGGTTAGTCGGAGAGGTAGTAAGGAGGAGGAGGAGGCTGTATCTCCCCAACCAACGGTCCTATTTTCCTGAAAATTTCTAGAAACATTTTCTTCTAAGACACAAAACTCCGTGCAAAATTTCAAAAATTTTCGGCAAAAGGTACAGGAATTAGTAAGCTTCAAAGTGGGTGAACCAAATCGTGTCCCCATATACACAGAAAAAACCCATTTTGCCTTTCTCGACGTTTCGAGGTCCCCCGAGTCCAAAAATGTGAAATTCTCGGGAGTCATGTTTTAACCCATCTCCATACTTTCCCAATGTTATTATATATATACCAGTCAGGAAAGTAAAATCGGGGCCTATTTCCTTTATATCAATAGTTCTTCCGTAACTGAAAGTGAAAAAAGATATTCTTAATTAAGGGAATTACTTCTGTATTATATTTTAGAAAAGAGCTTTACCGAAATTTCTAAGTTATAATTATGTATTTAAATACTTGTCGACCACGCTGCATAGGTAATTAACGAATTATAAGTGTCGGGAAAATATCGAACAATCGGAAACTGCAATTTCGAGCAAACGACCGCGAACATTTAGGAGACGGTTATTGTTTGATTCCCACGCTTGGTAGAAACCCGCCGACCTTTAAAGTCAGGCCAACCCATAATGGTAATCCCTCCTTTGTGCCCTTTCTAAATATCAAAGAGGGACGGACGGGAGAAAGATATCGGAGAAATTCTCTGACCACCGCAATCCACACGAAATCCTCCGGCCCCTCATTTAAATATTTGTTTAAAACTTTCGTATTAAAGCCTATATATAAAATGTAGGCTTTAATACGAAAAATATCAACCTTAAATTTTTCGAAAAAAGGGCCTACGATGAAATCTTGTCATCGTTCTCGAATAAATAATAAATTTTACCCGAAGAAAATGACTTTATTGTAGAGAAACATTATTCTCTTTCCATTTATAATAATTTTACACATTAGGCCCATAAAGAAGTCATTTGTTTGCTGTAATGCTTTAATTATTATTTAGATATAACTTAACGACGTTTGTAATTATACTTAAACATAGTTTTGTGGAGCGCGCGTAACGTTCTCGACAAAAACATTGCGCGAGTATTACCCTAAATGCAATACTCAAAAGTATAGGAAATCGGTAGGGGCCATTCACTTCCGATTACCATCGTAAGACGGGACAAAATTCCATCCTAGCCCACGAAAGATTTAAAAAAAAAAGAGTGGCGGAAACCGTGCGAGACTTTCCCTCATCGCTTGGCGTACCCAAGGCGTAAAAGAAACAGACTTCGGGGCACGATTTCATTTGTTTTTAATGAAAACACCGCAACCCCGCGGAAGACGGCGAAGAGAAACCTGGCAGTTTTCCTCACTCGTTCCGATTACGTCCATCCGCTCCCCTTCGAGTGTTCTTCGGTTAGAACAAAAATGCTTTGTACTAAGTTTGACACCCTGTAAGGTGTCGCTATCTTTCGCAAGAGCCGAGATAGATTTGGCCCCACCAGAGTCGGACCGGGGTGGCGTCTACGTCATCTAACATCCCCCTACCCATAGCCGGCGCGGTGGTAATGGCGGCCAGATGCCTGGTATAACGCGCGCTATAAAAATGCGCGGGCCAAACCAGATAATTATTACTAATTTTTAATTGGAAATGCGCGCTTTGCGGAGTACTCTATCCTTGGTCGATAACTGCCTATATATAATTTAAAAGGCCGAAAGTGAAAATTGATTTAGAATTATATTATTTTATTCAAATTCCGTCATCCGAAACTTTGGCTCTAGTCGAATCCTCGATTTTGGCATTAGTTTTTGTTCCCAAAAAAATTCTGATTCACAACTATTTTTCTACATACGATTAGATCTTCATTCTTTTTGTTTCGATGCCGATGCGTAGCTAATTTTTCTATAAGCAACTTCTTCTTCTTCTTCTTCTCGGCCCAAGACAATTCGTGCGGATTTTAAATGAAAAAAATTATTCCGGGACAGAAAAACTTTTTATTTTTTCATTTATTTTAGGCGCTCGGGTCTTTTCTACCATTTTAAAGAATTATTTTACCGGTAAAATCGCGTCTGTCCACATTTTCGTAAATTAAATCGGAACGTTAAAGGGATTCTCGCGTAATTTCTACCGTTTGTTGTATTACGCTCTGGCGGAACGAGTACACAATCCAGTCCCGGTTTGATAAAACGAATGGAAAACGAACCCCGAAACCCGCCGAAGTGGAAAAAGCGTCGGGTACCGCGCCATTCCGGCTTACGCGGGTTTTACCGTAGCGAGAATTTCCGTACAAAATCGAAGAGTAATCGCTTCGAAAGATGGCGGATAACGTTTAAAAAATTCTGCCAAACAATTAGTTTTTAAACGGACGGATACGTTATTCTATCCGAAAGGTCGCTGGCCTTTCGTATAAAATACTTGGCTCTTTCGAAGAGCGGGCTTCGTCCGTAAGCTTCCGGCGCTTATATTCATCCGCTGTGAAAATTTATGGCAAATTTTTTAAATATTAATTTTAGAAAAGAAGGAAATCGACGTAAGAAATACGATAAAACCCGTCCGAGACGGAACCCGAATAAAACGGGAAAACTCTTCGATACGGAGCGATTTTCTACGTTAAAAAATAAATCCGTTCGAAACGGAAACCCGCTAAGGCGAAAAACTATTCGGTACCGTCCGCTTCATACGGGTTTTACCGTATAACGAAACGATAAAGTATAAAAATTTCGTTCTTATCGTCCATTTAAGATATAGAAATTGGTATAACGGAAGCGGTCTAGTTACGCGCTAAACGCGGAGTTTATTGGAAAAGCCCCGGAGCGAGTACGTAACAAAAGTAAATTTAATGTAAATTAGTTAAAATTAACTTCATGGGGATCCCTACTAAGCCGGAGAGTCGACCGCATCCTCTCTATTTCCCCACCTTCCTTGTCTACCGCGGTAATTAGTACCGAGTAGCGAAGAAACAATAAGTCGACTACTAATTTACTACAAGTATATTACGAGTTGGTAAACGTTGGCATCTTTACGGGTTTACTTTGGTAAAGTACGGGAAAACCCGCGTAAAGCGGAACGGCGCGGTACCGTTTTGGCGGGTTCTTTTTTAATCCTCCGTTTTGGACAGGTTTTATCCGTATTAAATTTTAACCATTAACTTCGGTGTAGTCGGGAGAGGAGATTCTACCGGTCGCGCTCTAATAATCTTCACTCTCGGGTAAAGAATAACTTAAAAATGAATACATAAACATTATTCATTTTGTAAGATTTAATATATTTTTTATGGAAAATTAGAGTAAATGAATTTAAGAAATTTGAATTTTGAAGGTTATAAAGTTTGGAGCCACGGAATTTTATACGTAAAACCTGCCTAAACGAGACATATATTCCGGTTTACGCGGGTTTTGCCGTACGTAAACGCTGGTTTTTATTTTACTAGCGAGAAAGGAAGGAATCTACTTAGAAAACGTCCATGAAAATACACAACTTTTACGAAAATTCTATAATTTTTCGTAAAAGTTCTACCACTTATTTCCTTCGCTCCGTTTAGCTAAATGTTTGCAAACGGCGATATTAATATCTAAATTTTCCAATGCGCTTAACTCGTAGCAACTAATTCGGCACGTATTAATTATTACACTTAACGATAACTTAACGGAGCCCAATACGCAGAAAATAAATGGCATCTTAACAGTTTGATAAACAATTTGTCTGTTAAATCTCACGATATTTATGAATATATTTACCAAAGCGATTCGTCTGGCAATCCCCAGATAAAACAGCTGCATTTCATTTCTTTTGATGTATGTCTGTCGGTAATGCGTAAACCGATCTGAAAAGTCGGCGCCAAACGAAACGATAATTATTAGAAGACGCGTTTGTCTTCCACTCCGGCTCTATTAACGCTTTTCTAATAATATAAAAAGGGGTTCGAACCGGCAATCCGCCCCCCCCAGTTACGCGCGGGGTGCGAAACGTCGACGATCGATGGAGATAACGCTAAAGCGCTTTCTAATCGAACTTTCTTTAACCTTGAAAAAGCCGGTTGCCGGGAGAAGCGTCACGTGACCCCGGCCATCCTCCGAGCCGATCTTCGCCGTTGTCCACTTCAGATATTGTAGAGGCGACGTCTGAGTGCATTGAAGTAGATGTCGCCATAGGTTCGATCCGGGCACGCCTCGGTAACAACTTGGCGTCAGTTTGTTACATATTTTAACCCCCGTTTGCCCTCCCCCGCGGGTCCTGGACCCACTTCACTCCGGTTAGGAGCTCGATAATGGTGAGACGGTGCCACTTGGTCTTGCGAGGAACATCGTCGCCAGTCTAACTGGCTAGTGCGGGATCTGGATCGCTGCGAACTGTCGTCTCTTCCTATCTTTTTGTACTCGCCTCAAAAAACTAATCTGCCGATGAAGCAGACAAATGTCTATCTGCATTCGGCCGGGGATTCTTTCCAGCAAAACATGTGTTACGACTTAATTCGCCCTACGGCAAAATTCTTTTATCCCCCTCGGCCCAATTATAAATTCCTCATTTAACCATAAATCTCCTAGCATTCGCGTAATGCAAATATTTACGAAATATTCGAGAGATAATTAAGATTTGAAGAATTTTAATTGTTTACCGAGATTACCGGGCCAGATAATCTACAAACCAAAACACTTTACCTTAACGTTGTTTAGCTCTATAAAACTTTTACACGTTTTAAAGCTTCGGGTTAATATAACCACGTGCGTAGTGTTCCTTTTTGCGCACGGCCACGTGCGGGTTGTTTTTCCTTCCCATTGTTTACGTTGTTACACTTTGTTTACGAACTATCGATAGATTCTATTTTAAAATCTCTTATTCTTTGAATTTTAAAAAGAAATACACTTAAGTCGGTAAGCGGGCCCGAGTATATATCTTGGTGAAAATACAAACTTTATAAATATCGGTAGAGACGTAGACCAAGATATTTATTTGTACGAAGAATGGGCTTTGTTGCCACTGGGTCGTGTCGTTGGCACCGAGATGGCAATGCGGATGGTTGGTAAATGGTTGAAAAACAGCCATCGCTTTGACCTATCTTCCGTCTTTCGCAAAATTTCTGTCTATATAAGGAAACAAAGTCCTTAAGACAATTATTTTATATATTTAAGTGTTATAGACCGAACTGACGCCATGTTACTTACCTACCTCCTTCAGACAAGGGTTGTCCCATAGATGCACTCGACTCACCTCTTGTCTATTCCCCCTCCGATTGATTCCCCTCTTTTGAAAGCCGAAAGACGGGACAAGACGGCGACTAGCACGGCGTTTTTTCTTCATTTCCTGTCTTCTAGTGCGTAAAAGTCGTGTCGTCACAATGCCGGAACTGTTAATTACGATCTTTGGACCGGGCAGTATAAATAGGAGGCGTAAGAATGAAAGCGAATCTATCGTCCTCCGACACGACGAGAAAGGTGAGTAAAGTTACTTAATTTAGACCCGCGTGTCCCGATTTAAATCGCAATTCTCTTATATATAGGCCTATATTCTAGGCTTTTTACAAGCCCGTTGTACATTCTACGGGCAAATCTTTTTCGGCTACGGGTTAAGGAATGCCAACCATTCTCCAACAATTCTTTTCTTAATATTTATTTAAATCCGAGTGTCTCGTTAATTATTATTATTATTGTCGAGGCTCCCGCTTTCTTCGACTAAAAATTTCTTAAATATTGAATTTATACACAATATTTTCACTTTGTTTTCAATTTATTTACCAAGTTTTTACTCTAACAATCGAAAATTTAACTACTACAATACTAATTTACCGGTCTATGTAGTACGATTCTAGTATAGTGTATCCTTTACTTATTCTAAATTAGGTAACGGAAAAATACGTTGTTCTTTGGGGATTTGGCGGCCCAAAATTCGGTTAACCGTGGTAAAAGCTAAATTCTGCCTAAGGCGTTATACGGTAGGTGTGGATTTTACAAAAATAATTCGGCCACCCGGTTTACCATTCGCGAGTGTACAAAATAGAACACGGTTAACCGATTTTCGGGCCGGTATGTATTAAAACGAAAGTAGTCGTCTTATTTTCAAATAATGGCCACCTTTCCTTTTAATGGTAGAGCTTTATTTATTCTTAAGAAATTGTATTTTAAACGTCGAAATAATATAAAAAGCCCGGAAGCTTAGAAAAGGAGCCGCACCCCCAAAAAGTTATATTACATTAAATCATTTTCTATATTTTTATCGAAACTTAAGTTCTGTAAATTTACTCTGGCGGACGAATTGACGAGTAATCACCTCGACTGTGTTTTATTCTAACAAAAATTGCTGGATAAAATTAAAAATTAAATCTGCTAAGTAATTAAAAATTGTGATATTTATTAAAACTCCTTGGAAAAATCTCCCTGGATTATTCAAAAATAAATATTTTATTTTTTCTCCACTTTAAATAAAGGGAGGAAGGAATAAAGAGAGAATAATGGAACCGAAGTCATTACCATCCGTCGTCGAGTTTATCGGTTTTGCCCTTCGATGTATAATTATTTTCAACGATAAAGTTTACGATATTTCCTCGACTTTCGACGGGGTGCCATAAATCGTTATACCGTTGGCAATTCGGTATATTTGGCATAAGAAAATCGGACAATGTATAAATATTGATGGGTACGCAGGATTTTTACCGCTTCTGGATAAAGTCGAAGACGTAATATTTCTTTTACCATTACAAGAATTTTAATCGCGCCTAGGATTCTTTACCGCGCCAGTATATTTTCCGCTCTCTGTCGTAAGACGCATATAAATATATATATAAAGTGATAATTGCAGAAATACAGACCAATCCCCAAAATATAACTGTGGTATAGTCAAATTTATGCAAAAAATTAGGAGGCGATTTTAAGAAATTTAGTGCGAGGAGACTTCTTACCTGTTTCCGAGTGCCGGAAAGGGTGAAAGAAAGAGCATTTTCTTATCCTCCCGCGCCAAATGTCCGTCCCGATAAGCGCTAAATCGATTCGATGTTTCTTCTTTAAAAGAGCATAAGAGAGATGCGCGCGATGATGTCACCCCGTTTATCTATAGTCTTACCTGTTTGTTAAGACACGTCATGCTGTCCTGTGTCAATGCCAACACCCCGGAGGACGCAATTCCCGGCGGTTTAGTCACCGTTGACAGTTTGAACACACCAATTTTGATTGCCTCGCGTTTCGCCGACTTTTTTAGAAACGTAAATTATATACATTACGAAATATTCTAGCATAGTCCCGAATTTAAATTAAACCGCTGTGGGTATTAAATTAAGCCTTCGAGCATTAAAAAAAAACGTGCAAAATTTCGTGCTTTAAAGTTTAAAATTTTGGAAATTTCCCATTTATTTTGCAAATAAGTTGAAGTTTTCTGTAAAAACTGGCGAAAAATTCCGACGTATTTACTAAATTTGGCCGCGTAAAGTTGGTAAATAAATGCGTAGCCGTTTATTTACGGTAAAGCGCATTTAATTTGAATCGTTTGTAAATGAAATTTCTGTAGAATGACTAAAAACATCGGCTCTTCGGATTAGAAACTTAAAAGACTGCTTGTCTCTGAACACGTCATCGACAGGCGATTATTTCATTGGTTACCCTTTATCGTCTGCCTTTTAACTCGCGTACGACAATAGCGCCAGTCTAAAAAGAGAAGCTGCACATATAGTTTTTATGACGCTTCGCTATAAAAAATAAACGCTTACAATTATAGAAGAGCAAAACGTAATACCCGCCAGGCTTTATCCCTTAATTATTCCCTTAAACCAAACCCGGGCCCGCTTTCGTATCCAATAATCAGCCCTTAATTATAAATTCAATTTATACGTCATTTTAAGGCGTAAAGCCTTTCGGGCTTTGTAGTTATCGATTTTTATTCATAACAACAAATATAAATAGATTCCCGCCAAGAATAATTCGCTAGCGTTGAACGCTTGCCAAGCCCAAACAAACACTTCGTTAAAAATATGTCTGTAAATTAATTGTACTATAAAATATAATATAATACTTTTACATTGTTTAAATACGCCGGGACGGTATTTAATATAATATATTCTTTTTATAACGCGTAATCTCTTTATATTATTAAATTTATATATATTTTTTTTTATTCTTTTTCTTTTAGCGCTTCGACATGAAGTGGTTTCTAATGGTTACCATGGTTATCTTGCCCGTAATATCCGCATCCGACCGCCAGAAATTTGACCAGGAATTTAATAAGAAATGGTTAAAATTACCGAGCGGCGAGAAATTAATAAGGCGAGAACGTTCGGATTTCGGGGACGGAGAACAACACGTTTTTACGCGATTTGGAAAGAAACCCAAGAAGAAACACCTGGACAGAGACTACTTAATGCAAATTATGGGAAACAGCTACGACGCGGACAGGCTATCCGAAGAAGAACCTTCCGTTCTGACGGGCGCTTCGCCTATCCCGCGCCTGGACCAAGTTACGGCTTCCTCCAGTTGGACCTTGCAGCGGGTCTACCGGGAACTGATGGACTTGAATTTAACGGCGGAAATTCCTAAATCCAACGCCGACGACGTCACCTTAAACGTCATGAAACAGTGGTTGTTTCGGAAGGCGATATGCCCGGTGCGTTTCGCGTGGAAGGACATAGGGCCTTACTTTTGGCCCCGCTGGTTAAAAATAGGGGAATGCGACGACGGTAAATCGGCCTGTTCGTGGCCTTCGGGTATGCACTGCGTGGCCGCCGAGACTAGTACGGTCCAGGTGCTCCGATGGCACTGTTCTAGTTTCGGAAACAAGGGCAAAAAACACCGTTCCTCCTTAAAAAAGTCCTCTTCTTCCGGTTCCTCCAGGAATAAAAAGAACTGGAAGAAAACGGTGGACGGAGACAGAAAATGTCAATGGATAAAGGTCCCCTATCCGGTTATAAACGCTTGCACTTGCCAATGCTAAAATCGCTTTTTCTTTTAAATATAAGAATATGTTAACTCGAAATGTATGCATTCGTATAAATATATTACATGACAGTATTTTTTGTATGGTGTAACTGAATTTTTATACCGTTTTTTTAATGCAAAACTCGTGGTTGTGAGATTTTTGAAAAAATCTGTTACAATAAATACGATTTTGGTTAAGAATTTGGTTGTGATTAAAGTACAAGACTTTGGCTTAAAGTATATACACCAGGTCGACGGTAAAAAGAAAATATTCTGCTGGCCAGATTCTAAATAACTTATGTATTTGTTAAATTTTATTGTTGACAATACGCAATATTCATCTGGTTCTTTTGTTTTATAAAAGCCGCCATTTTGGTGGCATTTTGATCGATACGATATTGTATTTTTAAAAATCTAAATAATAAAATGAAAGGATCGAATTTGTAATTTTGTCTTAGTTTTTGGCCCACTGAAGATCGGGCCGGAAAATTCATTAATAACCTGTCGGGTTCTACTAGCCTAAATATCATTTTGTTAAAGGACGTCTGGCGAAGGGTGAAAGTGGTTTATTTTCCCACCTTTTTCTCATTAACGGCGGACACTTTCGGAAATGGGATAAGGAAGGTATCCATTAATTATAGGAAAGAAGAAAAGGAGTGGGAGTGACGAGGTGTGCCATTCGGGGTGCGTCACGATGTGGGTGAGGTGCTAAGGTATGCGCTCGTATGACGTGACGCTATTTCGCTTATAAAATATGAAAAACCATACAGGAAGTACTCTTTTAAGTATTATTTAATACAAAAATTAAGCGAGAAGCATAAAATTCGTATTTCGTGTATTCTAGTCTCGTAGCGTATTCTGGCGTTATACGCGTATAGTTTTTATGTATTTTAATCTTATACGTAATTATATTTTATATATTCTGGTGTCACACCCGCCAAGTTCGTACGTATTCTAACGTTACGCGTGTGTAGTTTTTGTTTATTCTAGCGTTATAAGTACGGTAGTGTTTACGCATTCTACCGTTCCCGCGTTAACTTATGCTTTTATCCATTCAATTTTTTTTATTTATAAACTGGAAAATTAATTGCGTATTTTTAATTAGGCCCGTTATTAAAATAAATGGCATTTTTACTTTAGTTAAAATAATCTCGAATAAGATTTTAACATAAACATAACATTGTAACTGCCGCCAACTCGGACTAATAGGGGCGAAGGTTATCCGCATTTACGAAAGGGAGGGAAGATGTACGGGTACTGTACAGTATTTATTACCATCGGATCTGTACACGAGTTTTACCGAGCTCCGGATTACATCGCTGTGGAATTTTTCGAAAAAATATCCGTCCGAATTAGCCGAGCTTACCGTAATTAAAAATAATTAATATTTAAACGGCGAATCTTTGGCAATTTATAAAGGCGTTTTATTTTTAAAATAACGTTATTTTATTTATAAACCGTTTAAAAATACAGTGTTTCGATTTCTTAAAAGTCTTCCGATTAAGCTAGTCTGGCATCCATCTTACTTTTATCTTATGTTTAAAAATGCATCCGTATCTACACTAAATAAATAATTACAGTAATTACGGTTTTACTTATTTTTATACGGCGTTATACCATCAAAGCCTACTCGAAAATCGATCGATTATTATCCGTAAACGGTTTACTTTCCGCCATTTTTACACGGTGGCTAAATTAAAATACAGTATTTGGAAAACCGTAAGCCAACCCGCTACGCTCTATATAAATATTTATTCCCCATATTTATAATTTAAAGTATAGCTAATTTCTTTCCGTATCGGAAGGCGCTTATAAAAACTGTTATCGCGCCCCTCTTCCGTATTAAACGAAGCCCGCAACCCTAGGTGCCCAGCGAAACAAAGTCGACAAAGCCAAATAATATCGATTTTAAACGATTAAAAAGATATTTTTACGCGGAGAAAACCGGCCATCTTTTTTTAAAATGCGGTTATTTTAAACGATTCTCTTCGTATTTCTTTAAAGTTAAGTATTATGGAGCTAAACTTATCGGATACGCCACCCCGCGTTACGTAAACATGGCCTAACACCGAAATTCGCGAAAACAATAGAAAAACTTCAAAATAAATTCATTTAAGACTTCAATTAACGTTTCTTAACGTCGTATTTTCTTCACCCATTTCCCTATTTATACGTCTGCGAGTATTGTCGCCAATCGTCGCCCGCCAACTACGGGGTATTTCGAGCGTGGTAAAATTTAAGAAAAAATCGCGAGGGGGCGCCATTGACCGGAGAAAAAATGAGCGTTACTACTATTTGCGAGACGTGGCGGCACATTTTGCAAGGTCACGCGTAAACTTTATATATAGTGAGAGGAGATACGTACCTGTTTCTCGGAAGCGACGAGAAACGTGTATCGACACGAAGAGAAACTTTTAGAAAACTCTTCGTCAGCAAAGTTTCTCTATTCTCTCTCTCTCTAGCCTTTTCTAAAGCTAAATAATGGAAACGGGTAAAAATATACCAACATTTAAGATTAAAAAATGCGCGAATGTAGCTAAAAAATGACCGAATTTTATATTTAAAAATTTGATAAACTCACGCTCGACCGAATGGCTTTTAATTCGTAAAAGCATAATAGGACGGGCGATTTACATAAAAATACATTAGTAGTTTGTTGATCCCCGGACTTTTCGGTGGTCGGTAGATTAATTTTATTAAAAAAACGTTGGATTTTTTTTCTGCCGGGAAATTATTATATTTTAAAAATCGTAAATTATTTTAATGAATGTCATTCGTTATATATTATAACCCCAACGATGTTCATTAAGTTATTATAATGAATACGGTAGTGGCTGGTTTTTGGAAATGCTCCAAAACACTATTTAAACAAATTTAAAATCTCTCTTTTTCCTCTTAGTTTCCAACAACTTAGTCATTTTAATAATACGAATTTTGAGTATGTTTTTAAAATATTGAATTGCTTCCAAGTCCACTTTTAAATAACCTATCCGTAATCATTACTCGCCTGTAGAGTGACGACGAAAATCGCCATTAATGCCGTAAAAACTCTCCTTCCTACCGTTCGAAATTACAATTATATTCTTATATTTTAGTCTCTTCGTCGTAATCTTCTTATAGTTTTCGATGGCCTTCGAATTTTAATTATTTAATTTTTTTACCGAATAAAATAGGATTAAAATTGAATTTTTAAAAGATTTTTAAACGATTACGGGTAATACATTTTTTTTAATTAACGCGAGAGGGAAAGACCTATTACTAGTATAGATATTGGATTTTCCAGGCATTAGATAATGTAAAACGATGTCCAAACGCTAAGGTAAGGTGAATCTGCGGTAGAATTGGGTAAAAAGTTTATTATTAAGTATTAAGCTCGATTCTTACAAAACGATAGCGTAAAATTGCCACCTTACGAAGTAAATACCTTACGGCGCGATACTACAACACCGTACAGAAAAACCGTATTGAAATTTGAAATACCGTACTGGGTGAATTGAATTTTTCTCTACAGAAAATTTCTATCCCTTTTACGAACAATTAATTCTTCTTTTCGGTGTTTGAAATTAATTTCGAGATACGACGTTTACTATAAAAAAACACCTCTCGTTCGTTTATTTTGTTTTTTTTAAGTACAGCCAGACACGCGGACTAATAATTTGTAAATTATTCGCAAACATTTCTTAATTCAATTAATAAATAAAAGTAATAACTCTATTGTGAATCCGTCTGGCGTATACGAATCGAAAGGATTACGGAACGAAAGGTTAAAGCGTGGAGAAATCTTTGATGGTGGAAAATCGTGACTCCAACGATAATTTTAAACTTAGTTTCGTGAATTTCCAATTTCATTGGTAATAAATTTGTAATTTAGAACGTAATTTCGTAACGAATTGCAAATTTTCATAATTGTAATCGCCCCGGATTTCGTCTCTCGAATTACCGGCTATTTTAGTATTTAAAATCCGAAAAACCGTGTAAATTACATTAAAACTTAAATGATAAATTTTATTAATACTGTAGTTTATACCCGTTTGTTTTTTAATTTATATAAATCGAAAACAAACCGGCCAAATTAGACTATATAAAAGTAAAGTAATTTGTTTTCTTTAAAAATAAATAAGGATTTTTCTGGCGTAAACACGGCTTTGATCATTTATTCAAATTCATCGATAGCGTCTCAAGCATTACTCGAAAACGAGTGTTCCTTCAGACTAGACGGTGCCAAATGTCAAGTGCCGAACGGCAGGTGATTGAATAATTAGGGTATTTCGAAACGGCTAGAGAAAAGAAGGAAAAAAAAAAAGATTTGCACGTTCGGCTTTAACCAAGAAGAATTTTTAAAGACAAAGCTTTCAGGTGCGAGACCCGTACGTGGGATTAAACGGTGGGTGTACTAGTACTTTACCGTTTTTCCACCCACCCAAATGGCTTTAATGTGCGGAGCCAGATGGCTTCGACAACCACCTGGTGTTTTCGCACAAATATTTAACGATTGAAAATAGCTTAAGTAAAACTGGCGTCGCCTTCGATACTTTTCCAAGTTTTTCAAAAGTTTCTATCGAAAATTAAAGATTTTATATTAATATACTAAAAATAAATACAAGTTTTTACAAAGAAAATTCTTTGTTTCGGTCATTTTTTCGTCGTTGGCACCATCGGCAGTCGATTAAAAAACACAAATACTCACTTATTCACTTACGAATACTTATTTTTTACTTTTAATGTATCACGTGATGGTGGCAAGAGCGCCAGAGGACGCTTTTATCATTTTTTACATTTTAACTACGGAGGCAGTAGCCTAAAAAGGAAGGTCGTCTCCGCCAGTATTTGTGTTTTTTAATCGACTGCCGATGGTGCCAACGACGAAAAAATAACCGAAACAAAGAATTTTCTTTGTAAAAACTTGTATTTATTTTTAGTATATTAATATAAAATAGTCGTTGGCCGCGTAAACTTATTTTTTACTTAAAGATTTTATTTATAAAAAACACGGGGCGCGACGTATATTAAATATCGCATAAACTTTAATCTTTAGTAAAAACGGCGCGATATAATCTGGGAGGCGTGTAATCTATACAGTTTTATATTACGCGTACCGTAGTGTTAATTTGGTCTACGGATCCATCTCGCCGCCCTTAACAAATGATTAACGTTAGACTTTCCAAAGACTTTTTTCTTCGCTTATAATTTTGGCTTCCTACTCGCCACTTTAACTGGTATATTTTAAATATAAATAATCGCGGTTATTATAAAAGCGGGTATAATTTTATTAAGTTCGTTGGTTACTTTTTCCCGATTAAAGATAGAATAATCGTTAAGTATTTTCCAGGTGTCGCGACGAAGGCATTAAACCAGTGGTAAAAAGTCGTAGCAACGAATTACTCCCACTCCGGTCGACGATGCCAACGGACTCGTTCTCGTTAGCATCGGCTTCTTTCTTACTTTGTTTCGCCCGTAAGGCAACGAAGATTTTCGCCATTAATATAAATATCAATCGCGAAAAGTCGGCTCGACCCCATTTAAATTATTTAAA